TATTTTGGAGTACCACAGTTTTTCAACTTGATTTTGCTTTCTTAGTAAATATGTTTATTGCTTATTAATATGCAAAGAAAATATTAAACTGTGATTCTTCTCCAAAACCTGTGTTTGTTCAGTTTGTACTTAATACAATAACCAGTTAGCATATGTCTTGGTCCTGTTACTTAACTCTGATTAGTGTAAACCAAGTGCCTTTGTCTGCACTGTAACTCTTCAGCATTTGGTTTTGGGCACCAAAGGGATAGCAACCTGGTTATTGGTACCACTGGCCTTATTAATAAACATCAAATAAGTGAGGATCTGGGTGGGACAAGTTTTGTGGATTAATATATACACTTTGAAACACCGTTCAAATTTTAAAAATAGATTAAGCTGTGATATGTATTATTGGTCAAAATATCATTTTCATAAGTATCTGTGTAAAACTAATGACCAAAAAAATTGAGATGCAAGTTACAAAATGTGTGATGCAAATTGAAAAAAAAAACTGATGTGCAAGTTACAAAAACTGAGATGGAAGTAACAAAAGTTGCGATGTAAATAATAATGAAGAAATACAAATATCAAAATACAACAGTCCAGTTGATATCTTCAAAAGACAAACTGAGTGTTATAAAAGACAAGTTAGAAGTCACATATGCTATTTCTTTTCCATATAGCATGATTCTAAGAAGCGGACTACCAAGTCACATGCGATTTCATTTCTTCGTAAGGCCATAGATTCTTAGTCGTGAACTATCAAATCGCATGCCATTTCATATGGTAAGGCCATAGATTTTGGTTGTGATCTACCATATGTCACATGGCGTTTCATATCGAAATTTTAAAATTTGATTGGCAATAAGACAACTCTCCACCAGAGACCAAATGACATGGAAATTAACAACCATTAACCACTGTACAGCCTTCAAAAATGTGCAAAACCCATTACACATAGTAAGCTTTAAAAGGCCCCAAAATGACAAATGTAAAACAATTCAAACATGAAAACTAACGGCCTAATTGATGTAAAAACAATAAACAAGTAACAATTTATATAATATACAGCTACAAACCGAATTACAAGCTCCTGATTTGTATGGTCACATATTCTTAGTTGTGGACTACTAAGTCACATGTAATTTTTAGTTTTCTTCCTTATATAAAAATACGGAGATATAGTATGATTGCCTGTAAAGCAAATATCCACCAGACACCAAAGAACACCTTTTTAAGCAATTATAGGTCACTATACAACCTTTAACAGTTATCAAAATCCACACTGTAAAGTAAGATATAAAGGGCCCTGAGCATTACAAATTCTCAAAAAAATGAAAGAACTCCAACAGTAATTTAAAGGAAATTTATGGGGTCAATTGACAATTTTGGTCATGTTGACTTATTTGTTGATCTTACTTTGCTAAACAATTTTGCTGTTTACGGTTATCTCTATCAATTTTATAATATTCAAGATAATAACCAAAAACTGCAAAATTTCCTTTAAATTACTGCAAAACTAATATGACAAGCAGCAACCAACTACAACTACTGAATTACAGGCTCCTGATTGGTACAGGCACAATGTTGCAGGTTAAACTTGTTTATGATCACTCATCTGTCAATCGATTTAGACAGTGGTATAACAGCATTACATGACAACACACTGTAACAAGAGTGCACACGTTGATATGTCTCACCTGCTTTACTAACCACTTAATTTATGTTGAAAGTCTTAAAGATAATGATTTTCCTACAATTATCACATGCCAGATAAATCATGTGAGACAGACATGAACACCTTACAATTATTCCATATACCAAATAAATTTGACCTAATGCTTATGGTAATTGAAAAACAGACCAAAACACAAAAACTTAACATGTACCAGTGAACCATAACTAGAGGCTCTAAGAGCCTGAGTCGCTCACCTATTAAACAACTTAGGACACAAATTATAGACAAGAACAGAATTCATGACAAATTTCTCTGTTTTGGTGATGGAGACGTGTTTGTAGATCTTATTTTACTGAACATTCTTGCTGTTTACAATTATCTCTATCTATAATGAACTTAGCCCAGTTGTTTCAGAGGAAGTGATTTTTGTAAAAGATTAAAAAAATTTACAAAAAATTGTGAAAAATGGACTTTAAAGGGCAATAACTCTTTATGGGGTCAATTGACAATTTTGGTCATGTTGACTTATTTGTGGATCTTACATTGCTGAACAATTTTGCTGTTTACAGTTTATCTCTATCAATGTTATTATATTCAAGATAATAACCAAAAACTGCAAAATTTCCTTTAAATTACCAATTCAGGGGCAGCAACCCAACAACGGATTGTCTGATGCATCTGAAAATTTCAAAAGCAGATACATCTTGACCTGATTGACATTTTTACCCTGTCAGATTTGCTCTAAATGCTTTAGTTTCAGAGATATAAGCCAAAAACTGCATTTTACCCCCATGTTCTATTTTTAGCCATCTTGGTTGATGGCAGGGGTCATCGGATACATTTTTTAAACTAGATACCCTAAGGATGATTTAGGCCAAGTTTAGTTTAATTTAGCCCAGTAGTTTCACAGAAGAAGATTTTTGTAAAAGTTAACGGATGACGATGACGCAGGTGAGCTAAAAATGAAGTTAAGGTCAGATGATAATGGCATGACAGACATATCCACCTTACAATCATTCCAAACCCAAATATAGTGTTGACCTTTTGCTTATAGTACTTGAAAAATTCGTAAAGTTTCTGCGGAACCCAGTGTCTCGCCTACTTTTTCTGTTAATCGCAGGCTCAACAGAAATGAGGAAGTAAATCAATAAAAATATTCCTCTTGATACTATCTTTTGATTGTAAGAAGCTTCTGTCCAAGTTTGGTAAAAATCCAGGATAGTTTATGAATCTAATAAATGTTTAAAAACTTTAACTGCAGACTGAATGTAATGTTAACTGGAAGAAAACAAAATTTCCTTCTAGATACTAGCATTTGATTGTAAACATGCTTCTATCCAAGTTTGGTACAAATCCAAAATAGTATAAGAAAGTTATTAAAATTTTAAAAACTTTAACCACAGAGTGAATATGTTGTTTCCTGGCAGAAAATCTAAGTCCATTTAAAAGTAAAATACGGAAAAAAATGGATTAATTTTTTTACAAAATTTCCTTCTAGATACTAGCTTTTGATCATAAACAAGCTTCTGTCCAAGTTTGGTACAAATCCAAAATAGTATAAGAAAGTTATTAAAATTTTAAAAACTTTAACCACAGAGTGAATGTGTTGTTTCCTGGCAGAAAATCTAAGTCCATTTAAAAGTAAAATAAGGAAAAAATGGATTTTTTTTTTTACAAAATTTACTTCTAGATACTATCTTATGATCATAAACAAGCTTCTGTCCAAGTTTGGTACAAACCCAGGATAGTTTAAGAACGTTATTAAAATTTTAAAAACTTTAACCACAGAGTGAATGTAATATTTCCCAGCAGAAAAACTAAGTCCATTTATAAGTAAAATACGGAAAAAATGGAATTTTATTTTTACAAAATTTACTTCTGGATACTATCTTATGATCATAAACAAGCTTCTGTCCAAGTTTGGTAGAAATCCAGGATAGTTTAAGAAAGTTATTAAAATTTCAAAAACTTTAACCACAGAGTGAATATTTGTGGACGCCGCCGCCGATGACGACGGAATTTAGGGTCGCTATGTCTCGCTTTTTTCGACTAAAGTCGAAGGCTCGACAAAAACAGACTTAACATTGACCAATGAATCATGAAAATGAGGTCAAGGTCACATGAAACCTGCCAGACTGACATGTATCCCTTACAATCATTCTATACACCACATAGAATTAACCTACTGCTTATAGTATCTGAGAAACAGACCTAATCACCTAACTTTAACCTTGATAACTGATCCATGAAATAAGGTTGAGGTCAGGTGAACCCTGTCTAAGGGACATGTAGACATAATGCAAGCAACCTATATACCAAATATAGTTATCCTATTACTCATAATAAGTGAGAAATTCACATTACAAAAAAACTGGGTTTTTTTTTCAAGCAGTCACTGAACCATGAAAATGAGGTCAAGGACAATTGACATATGACAGATGGAAACTTGGTAACATAGGATATCTGCATACAAGGTATGAAGCATCTAGGTCTTCTACCTTCTGAAATATAAAGCTTTATAATAAGCGTAATACCTATATGTCTCGCATATTGTCACTTTTGTTGAAGACAAAACAAAGATCTGTTGGAAAGGGCTTGAGCAATCAGATCAGCATCAGGCACAATAAAGCTAACAAAAAGATAATAAAAACACAAAGTAGTGATCTAGAGAACTGACAGTTACTGACAGCTACATCAACGCCAATTACTTTAATAGTGAATAAATTGTGTTTTCCCAGACTAAAGTATCAATCGGTACACACTTTCTATAGTTAGTAGTGACAAATACTAAAGATCAGTTTCATTACTAAACACACAGTGGTTTCTTATTAAAGATATAGTGAGCAAAAAAGATAACAACCAGACGCTTGCATTATATACTATAGGACACATGCAATCATGCATGCACAATTTATATAAACTTAAATCTTTTGTTTTTTCTTTAATTCTGAACACCAATCCTATATCATGTCACCGCAATATAGATATTTTGTGTTGAGGCGGCATATAGCAAACATCAATTAATTAATTAATCAGTACTAACTCTACTTGAGTATTGTAATGAGCTAGTTTCTTGAGCCAATCCCAATAAGGCCAGTTTTACACATTCATAAATGTCTTTAGTTTCTTATTGTCATCTTAAATGTATGATGCATCGGGTTTAGATGGGGGTTAAGTTTAATTATTAACCAATCACTTAGATCCATCAGAAGTTCACCGACTACTTGCACAAATGTAATTTAGATATAAATGAGTATTGAGAAAAAAAAATGTCATTTTGTCATTAATACTAGCAGTGCCTTAAAATGTAATGTCAAGATGAAAGTGTTAGAATAATTACCTGAATAAAAGCAGTGAATGAAGGCTGTCTATTGGTATGGAAAACTTTAGCATCTAATATCAAGTTATTCTCTCCATTGGTATGCTTGCATAACACCAAATCAGCATCAAATGGTTGATCCAGAACTGTAAAGTTATATTTAATCTGTTATGTGAAGATCTATGAACAGCACTCAAATTCAATACTTTTTGTCTTTTGGTAAAGCATGTTTATTCAAAGCTTGATGATCAAAAGAGAAGGTTCAGATTGTTTTTTACAACAAATTCAAAACATGTGCTTTATATGCCCACCTTTGAGATTCAAATGAACTTTGAAGAAGAGACTTGTTTCCTGCGGGGCACAGCTTGATATGACCACAGAGGTTGAACACTGAACAATTGGGGCAAGAATGGACATTACAGTCAAGCTTGACACAGCTATGAATTTGGATTGTGATTAAATATTTGACACAGCAAAGGTTTCTGACACAGAATGAGTGTGGTCAAAGAACTGAAAAATTTGAAATAAGCCTTTTAACTTTTATGGTTCAATATCCAAAATTTAAATACACAGTTAAATTCAGCATTAATTCGCCAGCATACACAGAGAATTTAATTCATCTATTCATTAGTATACAATGTTAGCCAAGTTTTCAAAGGAGTTCACTTATTAAAAAAAAATTTATGTTTATACCACAAAGTTCTCAAACAAATTTACCAAATAAATGGGGAATGTGTCCATGGGACACAGATGATGCCCCTGCTTGCATATAATGTTATAAAGGGATATAACTCAAGAACAGAAAAAGTTTTAATTTTGATCCTTTGAACCTGAATGTGGACAAATTTGTAAACCGGTTTAATTTTTGATCCTTTGAACCCCAATGTGGACAAATTTGTAAACAGGTTCCAAAATCAAAAATCGAAACACATGGTTACATTTGGCATATCAAAGAACCCTGAGAATTAAATTTTTGAAGAAATCAAACAAAGTTTAATTTTGGGTCCTTAGAACCTCAATGTGGACCAATTCAAAAATTGGGGCACAAAATCCAAAATCTAAATACATGGTTAGATTCAGCGTATTAAAAACCCAATGAATTCAAAACTTTGATTTAAACCACATTAAAATTGTTCAAGAAATAAGAAATTTATACAAAGTATTAGAAAAGTATTGTTTTTGAACCCTTTTTTCCTAAATGGTTTGGACAGTAACCCCCAAAATCAATCTCAACCTTCTTTTTGATCCCAGCAAACACAAAAACATCTTTAAAATGTTTTTAAAATGTTGTGTCTAATGTCATCAAAATATCACAAAAAAACGTGAGAAAAACATTAAATGTATGGTAGAATATATATCGCTAAAACGTTTTCTAATATATTTTCTAAAATATTTGCATAATATAATTAAAATGTTGTAAAGAAATATCATGATAATGTGAAAAAAAATGGCGTATAAAACATTTTGATAATCTTTTAAAAAATATTTTCTAGAAATATTTTCTGAACGTTTGAAAAACATCATGAACATCAAATAATGTTATAAAAATGTTTTTTGGATGTTTTCTTGCAAGTGAGACTGTGCCTAAAAAATGTTTTCAAAATGTTTTAAGAAGATGTTTTTGGTTGATATCTAGATCATATCAATATAAAAATTTCTGTACTTTTGATTGAGTTTCCTGATTTTGTAAATAACAAATCATTAGTTAAATTAATTTATACACAGTGATTAATTCTATATACAAACAAGAATAAATCAGTTGTTTTGCTAAGCATATGTAATTCACAATTTAAAGTCTCTAAAAACAAGAAGTATCTACAAATTTTGACACATCCAAAATGTCAGACACAACTCATCATGGTCAAGCCACTTACCAAATATGAAGTCATTCTGTTCATCAGCATTACTAATTAAAGTAATGAAAAATTTGAGAACATTCAACATTTTGAAATACAATGTATAAGCAAACAGGAAACAGGTGCCAGATACAAAAATGTTCACACATCACAGTTCATCACTATCAAGCAGCTCATTAAATATGAACTCATCTTTATCAGCAGTTTTGGGAAAAACAGTGATGAAAAAATATTTTGTTGGACAAAATCTGACAAATATAGGTGGACAGACGACAGACAGTGCAAGAAAGCCCACATTCCAACCACAATGGTATAATGTTTAGTTTTTCACTCTCAACTTTTATTACCTATCTTATACACATCATGCATATGTCAACCTGAACATGCATGACATATATGCCATTGGACATTATGCAAACATTATACACATTTTTAAGTTCAAGTTACATTGACTAAAACTTGTGTCCCAAATTCAGATTTTTCAATACAACTTCTCTTTCTAAACTAAAACAATACACTTCTAATAGGGTTACATCTTAAGTCAATAATCAACACCATTTGACATCAACTATTTGATTTATTTAAGAATACACTGAAAAAGTCAATCAATTGTCTTATTCAAAATCACTTGGAATGTTTTGTAGTGTCATATCTTTTTCTTGCTGTGCCATGCTTCTGAAAAAAAAATTAATCTTACATTCATATATAAACTTCTTGCACATTCCTTTATTATAGAACGTTTCACGTTGCCTGAAGGATATACATCCCCTCCCCTTTAAAGTTTTGAAACAAATAACGATGATAGTCTGTCGGAAGGGGACGATAAATGGCTGACCGTGTTAAGAGAGAGAGCAATATGCCACGCTGAACTTCATTTAGTTATTAAAAAAAAACCACATAAAAAACTTTAGACTAGATATGTGTCCAGTCAAGAGTCTTATTTCATTATACTCGTTGATTGTTGTCTATCATATTTTTTTTCTTTTATTGTTTTGTATAAATCAGGCTGTTGTTTTTCTTGTTTTTTTTTTTTTGGTTTTCATTAAATGCATTGTATCATGTAGGGGCCTTTAAAAGCTCTGCTACATAACGTCATTAAACATCTTATTGTCCTTTTTAAGTGTTAAACTCTGTAGAGTGACATAGTTTATAACTTGTCATTTGTATCTAAGGGCATATGATACAGTCCTAGAAGTATACTATAGGCACATAATAACTTATCGAGGTGTTACGCATTGTTTTCGCAATGATGATAATAATATAACTTAACTTCCGAGAAACACACATATGTCATTAAATGAGTTGTTTATATGTATTTGAAATACTTCAAAGGAAAGCAAATATGTTGTTTATGAAAGCACACTGTTGGACTAAAAGATTGATTTAAATAAACAACTTGTTTCTATTTTGTCACAAAAAAAATAATTTATTCAAATATCCAGATATCTTTTCTGTATTGTATACCCTTAATCTTGAATGTAATGCATTGTTTATGCTAAATATTTGAATTAAATATGGAATAACAGTAATTCTGTATGAAAATCTTACTTCAAAAAAAAATTCTCCTGAAAGGTTGTACATTCTAAAGAACCTGCGCCACTTCCAAATTGTAAACCTGCATATTGAACTTGTCCATTGTGGCTTTTCTTTTAGCTCCTGTTAAAAAATAAAAGATACATTGTGTGTATGAAGCAATAAATATAATTTTAAGCAACAGTTTATATTATCTTGCTTGTACTGAAGTCTTACATAGTCTTTGTAATGTTCATTAAGCTGTTAAGGGTAATTTAATTTACTGTTTTGCAAATACATTCATACACTGATTTTACTAGAAAAAAAAAATCTCCATATTCAAATGGTGCTTATATTAGTGTTATTGTAACTTGTTTATGTGCCTCATAAACAGGTATTGAGTCATGCTTATTGCAATAGTTGTTGTTGGTTTAAGTCTGTGAAATTTCTTTTTCATAATGTGTATTTAATGTAGGCAGTTAGTTGTTTTGTTTCAATTGTGTTGAGAAAAATTTAACATTTGTTTGTCAAGGCTTCAAAGTGGACTATATGGCATTGGTTTTCTCAGTTTTGAAAGCCGTACACTGACGTATAATTTCTTTTATCCAAGTCATTTAAATTCTGGTGGATAGCTGTCTCATACACCTTATCGCTATTTCAGTATTTGGAAATCTGTCCTGCTTGAACTTTTTACGTCAGCATACGTCATACAATAATACACCTTATCGCTATTCCCGCTTGACCCGAGAATCTATCCTGCTTGAACTTTTGACGTCAAACAACAATCACTTTTCCATTGTGGCATCAGATAGTTTTTATGATGACGTCAAAATTTTAAGGGAACTTGTGACAGTTGTGTGATGTCCAGTAATGGCGGACAAATAGCGATATGGTGAATTATTTTCAATTGTGGTGTCAAATATTTTCTAATATGACGTCAACATTTTACGGGAACTTTTGTGATGTCCACGGCCAGTAATGGCGGACAAATAGCGATAAGGTGTATTGGCAATCAAACACATAAGCCACATATCCTTATAATTTTTTTTATATCAATGAACAAATTCATAATTGGTGTACGTAGTTGCTTGAACAGTGGCGGATTTAGGGGCCCCGACCCCCTTTTGGACTACTTATAAGATAAATGTATAGACTATTTACAAGTATCACTCCAAACGTTTGCTTGCCTTGGGCAGGGGCCCCCCTTTTTTCAAACCAGATCCGCACCTCCAGAAACAGATGTAATTTGGTTCCGATTATGATTGAACACACACAATGAATGCACAAGTTTCATCTTAACAGATTAATCATTCTTACCAAGTGAGTATATATCGCGTAACAAACAATTTTCTTGGCTCTCTTTGTTGATATCCTGTCTTCGTTTCGAAATTCAAATTTCAAAATCATTTCCGGTGATAAAACAAAAGTCGATTCCGGAAAAGGTCGGTTTTCCGTAAGGCATATAAACGATACGAAAATTGAACTTAGTACAGTTACAGTTTTCATTTCTTAATTTCTTAAATATACACGAACGAAATGAATAAACATTAAAGAAAGGTGATTGTTTATTAATACATTATTGCTTAATTTAATGTTGACTCTTTTGAATTTTAATATAAGAAGGAATAAAATCTGACTTCAAGGATCTTCAAGATATCAAGTAAGGATTTCAACCATAGTATCTTGCTTGTCATGATATTGCATATGAAATGTAGTACTATATCTTATCCTGAAAAAAAACGAGCTAATTCCACAAAACGTTGTTTGTGGGGTTTTGAATAAAGTTTTAATAAAATGTTATTTTTATATCCGAAAAAATGTTGAATAAAATATCAGTAAGACTATTAAATAATGTGTATGTCAAAATATTTTATAGAAAACATTTAGCTGATATTTTTCAGATGTTTTACGTAAAACATTTTAATTTTACGTTATAAAACATTTTATCCAAATAGCAAAACTATATTTTCTGTAAAACATTTTTTTGCAGAATGTTTTTTGGATATTTTGAAAATATTTACTTTAAATGTTGTTAAAATATAAAATACCAATTGAAGAAAATATAATTTTTTTATATTATAAAATATCTACGGGATATTTTAGAACAATGTTTGAGAACATGAATAAAGGTTATTAGCAATAAATATTTTGTTAATGTTGTAAAGACATTTTACTTAAATGTTAGAAATAAAACATTTCAAAAACAATAAAATCAACATTTTTTTTATGTTTAAATGATATCTTATTGAAATATTTTGTGAGAGACGTCCATATGACATTTAAAAAATGTTTTTAAAATGTTGTGTGTTTGCTGGGATGAATGGAACATTGCGGTGCATTTATTGTCTTGAAACAAGAAAAATGTTTCTTTTTGGCCCCTAATTCCTAAACGGTTTGGGCCATAACCCTCAAAATCAATCCCAATTACTTCCCTTTGAGGAATGGAATTTTGTGGTACAATTTCAAAGAGAGTCATATACTTGGCACCATCTTATGGTGTTTATATATCGTTCGCTATGCCCGTGTCTGTTGTGAAGTTTTGGATTTTAATGAACACAATTTATGTATTACTTGTAAATCATTAAGTCAGGGATTTCGTTACCACAAATTAATTAAAACCTTTACTAAATTCTTCCATAGATATAAAGACTTGGTTTTTAAGTTTGGTTGTACCTGTAGAAAACTTAATTCAAACAGGATAGCACATCCTCATTTTTACAGAGATGTTGTTTACTATGCCTGGAAATTAATCTTATCCTGGTAAACTTATCGATCCTTTAAATAAACTTATTCTAAAAGGTTACCAATTCAAAACTGTTATTAGATCTTTGAATATTGTTTTTATTGGTATTTATATTGATTTTGTTATCACTAAATTAAAAGCAAACTAAATATTATTGTTATATTCATTACAAACATTCTTGCAACCTGTCGATACCTGTATCTTGGCATTGCACAAGGTCATGTTATTCTCTTGACTGTTTATGACGTCTTTACACTAAATCCATTGGATGGTGGATGTGTATTAATTGATAATTCAGTCTTAGATGCATGACTTTTTTTTTATTTGTTGTTATTGGATTTGAACTAGCTATCAGTAACTGTATTTACTCTCAGATCTGTACTTAGTGTCTTTTTGTTGTTGGGATGTATAAGTACCCGGCCATGTCTACTCTGTGTTTTTTGTTAGATGTATTTTTATTTGTATCCATCTGATGAGTTAATTAAGCCTTTTTAAACTGATTTGATAGTTTGTTGTTGTACTATTACACCACTGTCCCAGGTAAGGGGAGGGTTGGGCACCAACTAACATGTTTAACCCCGCCACATTCTGTATGTGCCTGTCCCAAGTCAGGAGCCTGTAATTCAGTGGTTGTTGTTTGTTGCTGTGTTATTTACATATTTGTTTGTTTCGTTCATTACTTTGTACATAAATTAGGCCGTTAGTTTTCTCGTTTGAATTGTTTTACATTTGTCATTTCGGGGCCTATTATAGCTGACTATGCGGTTTGGGCTTTTCTCATTGTTGAAGGCCGTACGGTGAGCTTTAGTTGTTAATTTCTGTGTCATTTGGTCTCTTGTGAAGAGTTGTCACATTGGCAATCATACCACACCTTCTTTTTTATATTGACCCTTCATAGCAAGAGAGACAAAAATATGAATACTGAAATCTGACAGACTTAAGTCCACAGTCAACCTTTGAAGCAATTGTCTTTTGAAAAATTATACTTTTTAATTTTCAAATTTAAGGGGATAAAACAGTGACCTTATCAATTATACCATCTCCTTGCACATTGCCATTCCAATCTATCAATATAAGGTCTCTGAAAATGTTGTTCTTATATATTGATTACTTAGAAGAAATGTGATATTTACATTTCAATCTATTCATATATTAGCAAAAACGAAAGTTTCTCCTCATCTTTGATGCAGGAAGCCATAAGATTATTCATATACCGAAGAGATATTATTTAGCTATTTAACCATTAGAAATTTTTTTATTCATACCTGCTCTATTTACTATATCAACTATCAGTTTGGAAAATCCAAACCAACACTTATAATGAGCTTCAATATCTTCATGATTCCAGTCTTTAATTTGCATTCCAAACCATTTTTCACCTTTACCATCAATGAATCTCACTTTTTCAGTTGGTGATGTTTTTACATTAAAGAGTGGCTTAGTACCACTTTTCCCACCAGTCCATTTTAAAGTACCTTCGCAATGTCCATTGTAAAAGCACTTTAATAGCAATTTATCTGAATACAGTTGACAAACAAACATCACTATAATGAAATTAAAAAGAAATAGCAAAACAACTTAATTGTGACTGATTTGTCACAATAAAACATAGTTCAGGTTAAATTCATATAATTATTATTTTTTTTCTTTCTGTTTATCATTAAAACAATTTAACCTGTTACAAGACAATATATCAAGACTTTTTGTTAATCAAATTAAATTAGTTTTATTTAATCATTATTAGGAAAACTAACTAAGGTTTGTTTATTCCTGTCTTGCAGTGAACTAATGCAATAAGGTATCAACATGTCGTCATTATATTGGGTCAAGGGTTCAATGGAACCCTGTGTCTTGCCTGTTGCTGTCAGTGTAAAAGTGTAATGTTAACTCTAAAAGGTAAGTCCTATTATCAGTAAAATACAGAATTTAAAAAGAGTGCAGGTGCTGAAATGTCTCGCCTGCTTTACTGACCATAATTTACTTTATGTTGAAAGTACTTTTAAAAAGATAAATGTTTAACTACAAGTATCACATAAACTTAACATTTTCAATGATCCATGACAATGAGGTAATGGTCAGATAAACCCTGCCTGACAGACAAGTACACTTATTGCTTATAGCTAGTATCCAACAAACCGACCAAACCATGAAATCTTAACTTTGACCAATGAACCATGAAATTGAGGTCAAGGTCCCAATTATACATGTCATACAGACAGCCTGTTGTTCAGTGGTTGTCGTTTGTTGGTGTGGTTCATAAGTGTTTCTCGTGTTTGAATTGTTTTACACTAGTCATTTTGGGGCCCTTTATAACTTGCTGTTCAGTGTGAGCCAAGGCTCCGTGTTGAAGGCCATACTTTGACCTATAATTGTTTACTTATTATACGCTGCGACTTGGATCGAGAGTTGTCTCATTGGCACTCATACCACATCTTCTTATTTATATGTACACTTCACATTCTTTTTATTACTGCACAAATATTATAAGTTAACCAATCGCTTATACTATATAAGAAACACTTAACCAGGAAAATGAGGTCAAGGTCAGAAAAAACTTGACAGTCGGACATGTATACACCTTACAATCATTCCACACACCCATTATAGTTGATCCATTGCTAATATATAGTATCTGAGAAACGGATCTAACCACAAACACTTAAAATTGATCAAACATGAACATGAGGTCAAGGTCAAATGAAACCTGCAAGTCAGACATGTACACCTTACAATCATTCCATTGTAATCCCTATGTCTTGCATTCTGCGACGTTCGTCATAGGTTAGACACGAAACTTTAACTGAAGACAAATGAAATGTAGACTCCACAGATGATGCTGTTGATGGAATGTAGGATAGCTATGTCTGGCTTTAATGACAAAATGTCCTCTCTCCACAAAAAATGGTTAAGATAACACAAAACAACATACTAAATATTAAATGTGAGCTCTCACCTTGGACATAAATTTAAATAGAACCGCTCTTATGGATTTTCTAGGACTTGCAAACTAACCCTATTGTAAATTTAATTATCATAGACTGATAACAATCCTGCATACCAAAAGCGAAATTCCAAACATTGTTGTAATTCATGAAGAATGCTTAAGCGCTCCATTTGTATTTTCTCTATCAATTACATAGATATTGTCTCATGTAAATAAATATTTTGTATTTAAAGCAGATGACTGGATAATATTTCTGTTGAAAATTTGGTTCCTTCCACACATACAAATTGCAATATATATATTTATTGTATGCAATTAAATGAAATTCTGCAAATTTTGCTGAAAACTTGTAAGTGTTAAAATATACTCACACTGACAAGGTGTGTTCTGTTTTGATTTTCCATACGCCCCACAAAAGCATACCATAAACAAAATAAGTTGTAAAATTGTTGAACGTAATGTCCTGAGCCTAACATGTTGAAAGATACAAATTAAATCTGAAAAGAAATTTACAAAATTTACTTCTGGATACAATCTTATGATCATAAACAAGCTTCTGTCCAAGTTTGGTAGAAATCCAGGATATTTTAAGAAAGTTATTAAAATTTTAAAAACTTTAACCACAGAGTGAATGTAATGTTAACTGGCAGAAAAACTAAGTCCATTTATAAGTAAAATACGAATAAACAGGATTTTTTTTTACAAAATTTACTTCTGGATACTATCTTATGATCATAAACAAGCTTCTGTCCAAGTTTGGTAGAAATCCATGCTATGGAATGCTATCAGATTTGTCAAAAGTTGGAATACAAAGGTACACATGAATATACAGTGTACAAGATATGAATGCAAAAATAAAATTCTAATATTTTACTGCAAGTCTTAATTGATGAAATTTCAAAAAGTTGTACCAACTTATATAATATATAATTTGAGCGGTAACTGCAATCAAATGACTCTATTTTAATCCAATAACAGACTTGTTAAGGGGTTTGAAAACATGTTTTGTGAGTACTGTACCTGGCCTTAGACCCCTTATTAATTATGTCAGTGGCAGAACAATAGGAACAGATAAGAATTATAATGCACTTTAAATATCAGTGCTTATAAAAAGCAACTTATTCAATAGGAGTGGTTACTTATGAGACTATGTATTACCTTGACTAAGTGATTTTCAGATTAAAAGTTATTTTATTTTTATTATTTTTTCATTACCAAATGTACTACTAATTTCTCTTCTACTATATATATTTTGTGTGGACCAGAAGAAAACAGTTATCTCCTCTTTCTCTTTTGGAATTAAACAAAAAAATTCTTAATACATGTAATATCCCAAGTCAAACTGAACTGCTATCATTAGCAGTTTATTAGCTGTTATTTACCAGTTCTTCATATTTTTGCAGTCTTTCAGCTGTTCTTAGCATTCCATCTAATAGCAGTTTGAGAAACTACCTTATTTAACCATTTCTTAGCATTCCTCTTAGCATTCATCTTAGCAGTCTGGATACCTAATCTGGCCAACAGTTATGGCAGCAGTTCAATAGCAGTTTGATAGCAGTTTTGGTTTTAATCTTTGTTATAAAAATGCTTGGATCTGGCTGTGTTTTCAGCTTGATAGTAAACCTTTATTTGAAGGTTATTTGATAATTTTCAAATGTGCATTTTGGCTCCAAGCTGTGTGTAAATTCTTGCTAGTGAAACACTGTATTTTTGTCAATTATAAACTTTAATTTGGGCTAAATGGAATACTTTCACACACCTGCAGTACAGTAAGTTGAAGTTACAGATAATGCATGTGTATTTTCTGACATAACTTTGTAGGGGAAAACAGAAATAATACAGAAAGCTTCAAAAAAGGGGGATAGTCGCTTATTCAAATAGAATATCTGATGATGATAGGATTGTAATAAAATACTAGCATATACTAATAGTGCAAGATGTTATTTGAAAATAAAAATATGAATATTTTAATATAATTTTGTAAAAAAAAACCAAAAATAAATCATATAATTTCAAGAGTTGAAAAAAGGAGGAGGAAATATTAGGGAAACCTAGGTCACAAATAGCTGATTGTTTAATATTGACCAAACAATCCATTTAATGAAGTTAATATATGTTACTTAAGTTTGTTTCAGAAAGTGGAAACATAATATATAGTTGTCTCATTAGCAATCATGCCAAAACTTATCATTTTGAGCTCCGTTGGATAGAAATCGACCTCATGCATGTACATGTAGAAGACTTTGATTAATTTTGGAACATTCAAATACAAAATAAAAGACGAATTTTAGTCTGTTTTGTTGGGTTCTTATAACAACTCAATTTTCAAACAGTTACAAACTTTCCGTAGAGATTTTTCAACCCGAAATAGGTTAACAGATGTATTGATATTCATTTGCAAAAGGTCAATTTCTATACAGCACAGCTCATTTTTATAATGTTCAATATTCCTACAGTTTTATTTCCAAAGTGTTTCACCACTCAGAAATTCCTTTATATATATATATTTCATATAAAATGAATTGACAAAAACTTATTTCAGGTCTGATTTTGAGGATCTTTTTTACTGTTGAGCTTACAAATGTGAAGTGCATTTTATGGTTATGATGAAATATTTTTATGACATGTCATTACTCAAAAATCATTATTTTTATACAATATTCAAATTAAGTGTCATTTTTTTCTTTATAGCAATATGATTTTTTCATGCAGAAATTCATATTTGTCTTTAAACATTTTAAACAGTGATTTTCTTAAAAGTATAAATCATTAATGTATTTCATAATTATTGCAAGAAACTGCAGACATTTCTGTATTTAATGGGGGAAAAAATTTATTTAATTCAAAACACATAATAACTTAAGTAGAATTTTTATCAAAAATATGTTTTTATATGAAATATATTATAGTTGAATTTCTAAATGGTGAAACACTATTGACCTCTCACTGTACAAGTAAATAAACTAATTCCTTAATTCAATATGATTTCCATTCAAAAATCATTTTCTTCAGGATTAATAAGAGAACCTCTATTTCTAAAAAAAAATTATTTTTTGTTTTTGCTAAATATCACAGCATCAGTATCATATTAAGCTCTCTAGGTTCATAACTGACAACCCTGGTTTACCATTTCTATTTACATGGTCATGGACAAGGATTTAACTAAGTCAAATAAGACCAACATTGCTCTAAAAAAAATTAAGTTTTCCATCTAATTTGATACTGGCCTTCAGATTTGAATACATAGACTAAATAACATTAAACATTTCATCAGTAATACCAATTTTACCCATAAAATCCATGAAAACTAGTATCTCATATACATTAATGAATATGCAGTCTTATAACAATGGAGAAAATTACCTAATCATGAATACACAGCATCCATCAATGAACAACATAATTGAGCTTAAGGTCAGATTTACCCCTATGAGATGGACATGAACACCTTACAACCTATGACTGGATTAGTTTCGCAATGTCTCCCATGCTGACTATTTTTTCAGATAATTCATTAAATGTACATTTCAGGTTTTCATGTTATAACAAGCATTCTGTGAGTATTGCATGGCAATACATAGTCCAATACCGGTTACAAATTCATTGTAATGGAACGAAATTCTAATTTGATCTATAACTTGTCATGGTGTAAATTACATAAAAATATCAAGTCAAAATCTTCAAGCATGACGAAAAAACTGTTGAAAACTGATTATTTAAGTGAATTTTCTATGTCCAAAGACCATAACTCTGCACAAAATTGGGAAATTTGTTCTCAAATTTTAATTTTATGATAGAATAATACTTACGTAATTGGAAATTACATTAGGATTATCTCCCCCTAATTAGTATTCACACCGCCGTTCTCACTTTAAAATATCAATAAAGCGCTCAGGTATATCAACTCCCACCACGCATGCGTGATTCCCCAGTCTCTCTCGGCGAAAAGTGTTCGCCAAAAAAGATTCGATAGGGGAGGTGGGTGGGAGCCAATTACGTAAGTATTATTCTATCATAAAATTAAAATTTGAGAACAAATTTCCCAATTTTATATTAATTCATAATACTTACGTAATTGGAAATTACATTAGATTTCTAAGCTATCCACAGCTGAAGAATCTTTCTGTACTTTGTATACTGTATTTTCTTCACATCAGTTCAGATATAAATAACACAACACTATACAGTTAAAAAAATTTTCTTCCATTTTCTATAAATTTTCTGTTTTTTTTTTGTTTTTTTTTTTCAGAATTTTCCTTCATCTGTACAAAATTCTTATTTACACAGAATTTAAAACTTCTACGTCTATAAGACAACAATAAAAACAACTAAAGGTTGATTCCTTTGCCAGTCCGCTGTGTCCATAATAGACTTTACAGATGCGCCGTTAAAAAGTGCCCAAGATGTAGAATGAGCACGAAATTTTTTGTCTTTTTCATTGTAAGCACATTTAATTGCATTAACAATCCAAGACGAAATAGTCTGTGATGTAACCGGTTTATGCGGTTCAATAAAGGATAAAAACAACTTGTTCTCAAACTCACTGTCAGAGTTCCTGAAAGGTGCAGTTTTTTTCAAATAATAATAAATAGACCGCTTAGGATCTAATAATTTATCTGATTGATAAGATGGAATAAAAATCTTGCTGCTAAAATGTTTTGGTCTATCCTGTTTTGATAGTCCATGACGAACAAAAGTCACCCCTTTCTTCTGCACAACAATCGACTCTTCTCCAATACACAGAGATTGTAAGTCACTGCATCTCCTGAAAGAAGTAATTGCAATTAAAAATGCAGTTTTCCAAGAAACAAATTTCAAATGAGCATGTTTCATTGGTTCAAAAGGTGCTTGTTTTAATTTTTTTTAAACTAAGGGTAAGTCCCATTCAGGTATAAGCACTACTTTTGGAGGTCTCGAGTTAAAACACCCTTTATAAGACGAGTTAAGTAAGGATGTTGTCCTACTTGAATTTTCCCAATTGGAGCTAGAACTGAGGATAACATAGATCTATAACCAGCTATGGTTCTATACTGAAGACCTTCTGAGTATAAATATGTCAAAAACTCAGCCGCCTCCATCAGAGAGGCATTATAGGGATCAATTTCCCATCTACTACACCAGCTATTGAATTTTCGAAATTTGACAGAGTAATCTTTTTGAGTCCCATAGCGCCATGAGGCTCTGAGTAATTTTCTAGTTTCTTTAGAAAAACCTTTCTCTTTTAACTGTTTGTCGATAAAAACCATGCAGTCAGATTGAATACTGCTGGATTTGGATGAAATATGTTTGTTTTTGGCTGGTGTAATAGATCCTCCCTGACTGGCAGGCTCCTTGGATAATCTATTATGTACTTCAGAAGATTTGTGTACCAATGTCTGCGTGGCCAATGTGGGGCTATTAGAATTAACTGACAATCGTACCTCGTCATGTGTTGCAGTATTTTTGGTATTAGACAAATTGGAGGGTATGCATATGCATACATGTTGTTCCAAGGAATTGTTAGAGCATCTATTGCATAAGCCTGAGGGTCTGGGTTCCAGGAGCAATAGATCTGCATGTGTTTGTCGATTTTTCGCAGAGGCGAAAAGATCTATGTGAGGTGTCTCCCAAATCTGAAACATTGCATGTGTTACCTCTTTGTTTAATGACCATTCTGTTGGTTGAATTTTTACCCTGCTTAAATGGTCTGCTAGTATGTTCTTTTTTCCTGCAATGTGTGCAGCTTTCAGAAAAATTTGATTTTCTAGTGCTAATTGCCACAGTTTCCAAGTTCTCATACAAAGCTTGGGAGAACGAGTGCCTCCTTGTTTGTTTATATAACGAACAACCGTTGCATTGTCTGAACGAATAAGAACATTTTTGCCTATCAATTTTGGGAGAAAATGTTTTACAGTTAGAAAAACTGCCTACATTTCTAAAGAATTTATGTGGAGAAGTTTTTCGTCTACTGACCATGAACCCTGAACTATGAAACTGTTGTTGATGTGACCTCCTTACCCTGATTTTGATGCGTCTGTTGTTACTGTTATTGAAGTTTCCCAAGGTGTTATTGATCTGCCCATAACCAAATTTTCTATTTTTAACCACCATCTGAGGTGACCTTTTAGATGTTTTGAAAAAGGAATTTTTATTCCTAGATTTTGACATACTGGTTTCCAATGATAAAGGAGGTGTAACTGAATTGGTCTCATAAAGAGTCTTGTATTTGGAATTAAATCTATGCATGAAGCCATAATACCAAATAGTTATAGAAAATCTCTTGCTGTTGCTTGATTTTGCTTGTTTAAGATAAGTTCTACTGCAGAAAGGAGTTTTGACACCCTTTCTGATGTAGGACGAACTATTCCTTCTTTTAGAGAAAACACTGCCCCTATGTAAGTTATTGATTGTGTTGGAATTAGGCTTGACTTTTCTAGATTTACTACAAACCCTAAATTTGTTAGGAGGTTGAGCGTTTTCTCTCGATCTGAAATCAGCATTTGTTTGGCCTGATTTATCAAAAACCAATCGTCTAGATAAGCTGCTAGACGAATATTTTGGGCTCGTAAATGAGCTGCCACTACAGAACACACTTTTGTGAAAATTCGAGGTGCTGAATTTGGAACAAAGCACAGCACCTGAAATTGGTTGGTAACACTGATTGTTGACACAAAAACTTAGATACTTTTTGTGTGTTTCGTGAATTGGTATGTGGAAATATGCATCTTTTAAGTCGAGAGAAATTGCCCAATCTCCTTTTTGTACTAAGTTTAAGACACTGTTTAGAGAATCAATTATGAAGTGTTTTTTCCGGAGACACTTGTTAAGAGGTTTTAAATTTATAACAGGTCTCAAATCGCCTGTCGTTTTTGGTACTAGAAAAAACGTACTGTAAAAAACGTAGTTTTTTTCTTTTACAGGTACATTTTCTATAGCGTTTTTTCCAAAAAGTTGATCTATTTCTGTTAGCAGAATAGGTAAATCTTTCGCAGGAACATTTGTTTTCTTTATTCCTGTTTGTGGGATTTTTCCCGAAAATTCCAATTTGTAACCCTCTTTTATTATTTTTAAAACCCAACTGTCGTTTGTTATTTTTGCCCAATTTTGCCAAAAAAGTTTTAAACGACTTCCTACAGGTATCTCCGGGGTTCTGACATAAAATATTTACCTGCTTTTTGTAGTCATTTTGATCTACCATTGCCACGAAAAGAACCTTTCTTTTCACCATCAGCCTCTTTTCTACCAGAACAATAACGTCTGAAATTAGGCTTAAATCCACCTTTGTTTTCACTTGGCTTAGCTGCTATCTTTGGAATGCGAAAATTTGAAAAGTCATTTTTAGCCACTTTAGGACCATTAGTGTCTTGACTAGTATGAATGACAGTACTCTTCCTTTTAAAACTAGAGGTTGAAGCAGTTGATTTACGAGTTAATTCTGGCAGTAAATCTTTAATTTGTTTATTTGTCTCTGAACGATTTTTCAGTTTCTCTTCAAAATCTTTCCCAAGAACACCATCACTTGACAATTTAAGCGATAAAAATTTATCATTTAGCTCAGTTATGTCCTCTAGACCTGTATCTAACAAGGTAGCTTTCCTATGGATCAAATGATGGAAGGCACCTGTTCTAGCTGTTTGATCTATAGATTTCACTGACATGGCAAAAATGTCTTTGACCATTTGGACAAGTAAATCAATATTTGGTTCAGAATCATTCAGTTTTTCCATTAATGAACCCAAAGCTTGTTGCATGTATGCGTTATAATTAAACCCATTCTAGCTGCTGACTGACCTTTGAAAGCCATATTTTCAAAAATTTTCTCAGGTTTAGAAAAAAGTTTATTATGAGCTTTACCAGCATTAGGACCATGTCGTTTACAAAGTAAAGTTTGAGTAATGTCATCTAGTTTTGGTAAGTTTAGTATATCAGCTGATTTATCACTCACAGGAAAACTAGCCCTATATTCCTCTTTATATGTTGACAATAATAAAGGATTATCACAGTGCCATGATTGATTCAAAATATTAATCTGACTTTGATCTAGAACAATACCAGCTTCAGATTTGTCTGGTTTAGTTTTGGCATCTTCACCAAAAATATAACCAAGGATATCTCTACTGACATTTTCAGTATCAAGAGAGTCCTTATCAACTACCGAATATCTCTGAAAACGGTTGTGTGTACTGTTTTTCACAGAAGATTGTTGGGATTCATTGTCAGAATCTATATCTAAATCGAGACCCCTTCTTTCGTCTCTATCCGGTTGAAGGGAAATTGCATCATCAATGTCATGATTTGCAACACTAGCATGTCCGAGAGAATTCTGCCCACCTGACGTGGCAATGTCCCTAGAATCCTGAGAAATATTCTGCCCACCTGAAGTGGCAATTTCTCTGTCCGTTTCTTGATGTCCACCTGAAGTGACAGTTTGAGAAACGAACTTTTCGAAAAGAGGTAGAAAAATGTCCATACGAGAATTCACCGAATTAACGGTCTCTTTGACACTAGAAATTTCTGCTCTCAATTCATTTTCTACATTAAATGACAAACCTGTTGTCGAAATTGTCTATGGTTCCTCTGATACATTTTTAGCAGACGTGCTGCTAGCAGTAGAAGATTTACGAGATTTACTTTTCGTCTTTTTACGACTTCCGGTTTGTTTGACTGATGATTTAGCTTTAGGAAAATTTGCCTCTTCACTTGCCGAATTTATGGCCGTAATAAAAGCTTCTGCCATGTTGACAATGAAAAGCGTCTATCTCAAAACTTATAAACTATGAAAATACACGGTATATAATTAAAAAAAGTAACATTTTCCAAGAGGAAAAAATAAAGCGTGTGAACACTTTTCGCCGAAGAAGAAGACTGGGGAATCACACATGCGTGGTGGTAGTCGATATACCTGAGCCCTTTATTGATATTTTAAAGCGCGAACTGCGGTGTGAATACTAATTAGGGGGAGATAATCCTAATGTAATTTCCAATTACGTAAGTATTATGAATTAATATAAAATTATCAGACTGGAACAAAATTCCAACTTGATCTGTAACTTGTCATGATAAAACTATATACTAATTATCAAATCAATATCTTCAAGAATGACAAACAAACCTACCACTAATTATATATAAATTCTTCAAACAATTTACCAAAGAAAAGGAAAAAAATCCAAAATATCATTTTGTCATTTAAAAATCTTTTAAAAAATGAGTTATTTCCCTTTGAACAGAAATCTACTAATTAATAAGTGTTTCATCTAAAATTTAATTCTAGGGAAAGGGCTTTAACTGAACAAAGAGAAAAGCTAAAATCGTGAAAATTGAACTTGACCTGTAACTTGTCATGATAAATCAATAAACCAAATATCAAATCAATATCTTCAAGCACGAAAAAAAAAAGTCTGGAAAACAGACAGACAGACAGACAGACAGACAGACAGACAGACAGACAGACAGAGGGACGGAGTGTAAACCTAAACTCCCCTTCAACTTCGTCAGTAGGGGACTAAAAAGGGGGAAAATTGTGTACTGCAGGTCACAGGCAAGACAAAAACATGACAAGACATGGATATGCTGAATCTAATGTTTTTGCCATTTTAAAGGTTGTTAAACGCAATACATCAACATAGTTGCATCAAAGTATGCTTTTGTATATCAATATGTTTGAATGGTATAAACTAACATGCATACAAAAATATTTTTTTTACTATTTCAAGTCACCTACCATTAAATAGTGGATAGGTTGTTGATTTTGGCACTGGATAAGCTAATGTTTCATTTTCTGTCATTAGTCCAGGGTCTGATTCAGCAGATTGACTGATTTCTGATTCAGTAGTTTGTCCGTTTTCTAATTCAGCTGTGGTTTTAGGTTTTTGTTCAGCAGCTAGTCCAGTTTCTGATTCAGATGTTTGTCCTGCTTCTGATTCAACTGTTGGCTTAGGCTTTGTTTCAGCACTTGGCCAAAGCTTTGATTCAGCTGTGGGTTTGGGTTTTGATTGAGTATTTGGTATAATTTCAGATTCAGTAGTTGGTCTAGTCTCTGATCCAGCAGTTGGTCTAGGCTCTAATTCAGCAGTTGATTTATGTTCTGGTTTAGCTGTGGGCTTGGGCTCTGATTCAGCTGTTGATTTGGGTTCTGATTCAGCAGTTAGCAAATGCTCAGATTCAGCACTTGGCCAAGATTCGGCATTTGGTTTGGGGTTTGATTGAGTATTTGCTCCACTTTCTGAATCAGTAGTTGGTCTAGTCTCTGACCCAACAGGTGTTATAGGCTCTGATTTAGCACTTAATTTGGGTTCTGATTCAGCTGTGGGCTTGGGCTTTGATTCAGCAGTTGGTCCAGGCTGTGATTCAGTAGTTAATTTGGATTCTGATTCAACAGTGCGTTTAGGTTCTGATTCAGCAGTTGGTCCATGTTCAACAGTAGGTACATATTCTGATTCACCAGTTGTTTCAAGTCTTGCCTCTATTGTGTGTCTTTTATCTGGAGATGTTAAATCAGCATCTGCATCTAAAACTTAATGACAATAATGACTATCTTCATTATGGCATACATAATTATAAAAGAACTTAACAAGGGGCTCCCTAGAGCCTGAATTGCTCACCTGGTAAAAATATGGCATTTTGCTATTTGTTTTTACCTGATCTGCAAATTTTAGCTCATTTGTAAATCTAAAGGACTGGTATATTTTTGCAGATCTTGTATTGATTATCATTTTTACTGTTTACAGTTTATAACTATCTATTAAAGTTTTCAAGATAATTGGCAAAATCATAACAAGAAATGAGCTGTCAAATTGACAGCAAACCAGGTTTTCTGTATTTATAAGACACTTTCAGGCTTGTTTGACCTCCAAGGTTCTGTGCCTATTTTCCAATCTATCATGGACCATAACTCCTGAAGGGCAAAATTAAAAATCATCAAAATTGTATTTGGTCTCCTTTTTGTCAGCAGTAACAACAAATTGAAATTTGAAAAGGATTGATTAAATGGTTCATAAGTTATTGTATGGAAACGACATAAAGTGCCATTTTCCAATCTACCTTGGACCATAACTCCTGAACAGCAAAACTGAATAACGTCAATACTGTACCTGATCTCTCTTTTGTCATCAGTAACAACATATTAAATTTGAAAAGCATAATGGTTGAACAGCTCATAAGTTTTTGCATGGAAACATTACATTCAGTGCCATGTTTCAATCTATCAAGGACCATAACTCCTAAAGGGTAAAAGTGAAAATCATCAACAACGAAATTAATCTCCCTTTTGTCATCAGTAACATCATGTTAAAATTTGAAAAGCATTGGTTGAACCGTTCATAAGGTCCTACACTGAAACTGTTGGCAGCCGCCTGACACCTGGTTGAACTGTTCATAAGGTCCTACACTGAAACTGTTGGTAGCCACCTGCAGCCAGTCCACCACCCACTGCCCCTGTTTCATCCCCATTATAACATACATTTTTTTCTTTGTAGAAATACCCAGTTAAAAATAAGTGAAAATTCGTCATTTAAGGGCAATAAATCCTACAAGAAATCTGACAATTTGGCCATGTTGACTAATTTGTAGATCTTATTTTGCCTTTTAAAGTTTCTCTCTATCTACTTGACAAAAATGGATAGAAATGCAGGGGATATAACTCCTATAAAGAGTCTGTTGACATTTTCTGCCATGTTGTTTTTTTTGCAGATTTTATTGAAACAAACATTTTTGCTATTTACTGTTTTTCTCTATTAATTATAGTTTCTGCAAAAAAATGCTAAAATCATCTTTCAAAGGCAAAAATTCCTTAATGGGATCAATTGACAATTTCGAACATGTTCACTTATTTGTAGTTCTTATTTTGTTGAACAAGTTTGCTATTTATTGTAGCTCTCTGTCTATTATAGTTTCTACAAAAAAAAAACAACAGGGGTAAAAATGATTATTCAGGGGTCAGTTGACAATTTTGGCAATGTTGACTTATTTGTACATCTTATTATTCTGATTATCTTTGATATCTACAAATTCTCTCTATCTATTATGGTTTCTGCAAAATATGTATACAAGAAATGAGCTGTCAAATTGACAGTAAACCAGATTTTTTTTTGTACTTTGAAGGCAATTTCAGACTTGTTCTACCTGCCTTGTTCTGTGCCTATTTTACAAATATAACAAGGACTGTAACTCCTGAACGGCAAAATTCCTAATCATCATTATCCAGATTAACCAACATTTGTCATCTGTAACATCATACTGTGAATTCATTTAATTTCATGCATACCAATTTTGGTATATTAAAGGAAAATCATATTATTGTGGTTATTTGATTTCATGGTTTTGCATACAATCATATTGGAAATTTGTATTTCGTTAAACTTTTTAACTTGTGGTTAAAAATACACACAAAAATAGGTATCCGACAAAAAATAATGAATCCAGAGTATTTAAATTTGAAAAGCTTTGATGTAATGCATGTAATGGTTCATAAGTTATTGCATTGAAACAACAAAAAGTTTCCTTTTTCAATCTATCAAGGAACATAACTCCAGAACGGTAATACTGAAAATCATCAATATCTAACTTGACCTCGGAGGCTTCATTTTGACTTTTTTTTTTTTTATGTAACAATAACTTTATTGTATATTTGTCATAAATTACAACATACTCAAATTTGAAAAGCATTAGTGGAATGGTCCATAATCAATTGCACAAAACAACATAAAGTGCCATTTTCCAATATATCAAGGACCAAAACTCCTGAATGGAACAAGTGAAAAATGTTCATATTAAACGTGACCTCCATTTTGTACTCAGTAACATGATATTCAAATTTGAAAAGCTTTCGTTGAATTGTTCATAAGTTATTGCAAGGTAACTGCTGGCAGTTGCCCATCTGCCTGCCAGCCAGTTGTACTTCAACATTTTAATAACCATTTAAACATGGGTAAAATTCATCTTTCAAGAGCAATTTATGATTTAGGCCATGTTTGACTTATTTGTAGACCCTATTTTTCTGAACATTTTTCCTATAAACAGTTTCTCTCTATTTATTATACCCCCTAAGGTGACTGAGAAATAGATATAGGGTCATTTAGGTCTTCTTCCAACCAGCAGTAAAACCCTTGCCAAAGTGGGGCATCCTTTTGACTGTTCAGGATGTATAGTACTCAGCTATGTTCAATCAGAATGGGGACATTAAATCCAAAGCCTTGTGCCAAGGGAGTGCCACTGTCTTAGCACGTTAAGAACCCTTGCAACAACTCTTTGAGGGGTCTGTAGATGGCCTGTTGCATGGCAAAATTTCTGTCCCTATCCAATACACCTTCATTTTCCAGTGGCAGTCCAAATTTTACCAACCTTCATCCTGGACAGCCTTTATTACAAGACCTACCTATTATATTTATTGTTTATTTGTTCTCATCCTGAACATGCATGAAATATTTGCCACTGTACATTTAGCAACCAACAATCAATCAATCTATTTATTATGGTTTCTGCAAAAATGGGCAAAAATCATCTTTCATGGGCAATAACTCCTATAATGCAGCAATTGACGATTTCGGCAATTTGATTTATAATTATTTTATTAGATTACTTAGATCTTATTTTGCATAACAGTTTTGCTATTTACAGTATCTCTCTGTCTATTATTTTTTTTTGAAAAATGAATAAAAATCATCTTCAAGGGCAATTATAAGAGCTATTTGGGTTTAAATGATGATTTCATCAATGCTGACTCAATTGTAAATCTTATTGTTCTGGTCATAATTACTATTAAAAATTTCTCATTATCTATTATTGCTTTCAAGGTTATAACCAAATACTTTGAAATTTGCAAAAAATTGACACTTCAGGGCCAATTACTCCACAACTGATTGTTATGTTTTTCTAAAAATTTCATCTGAGATAGACCTTGACACAACTGATCCTTTTCACCCTCTGTCAGATTTGCTCTAACTACTTTAGTTTTTGAGAATAAGACAACAAGAGTGCACACACTGAAATGTCTCGCCTCCTTTACTTATGATTGTATTTATGTTGAAAGTAATATGAAAGTTTTATTACAAGTATCATATAAACTTAACATTATCAATGATCTATGAAAATGAGGTCAAGGTCAGATGAACCATGCCAGACAGACATGTACACCTTACAATCATTCCATACACCAAATATAGTGGTCCTATTGTTTATAGTACCTGGAAAACATACTAACCACAAAACTTAAAATTGACCAATGATCCTTGAAAAGGAAGTCAAGTCAGAAAAACCGTAACAGACAGACATGAAAACCTTACAATCATTTCATACACCAAATATAGTTGACCTATTGCATATAGTATCTAATAAACTGACAAAACCATGAATACTTAACATTGACGAATAAAATATAAAAAATGAGGTCAAGGACTCAAGGTCATATGAAACCTGCCAGACAGCCATGTACACCGTACAATCATTCCATACAGCAAACATATTTGACCGATTGTTTATAGTAGTCGTATCTGATAAACTGACAAAACCATGAAAACTTCACATTGACCAAATAGAATTGACCTATTGCTTATACAATATTTGTGTTCTCCTTTTTTGTCATCATTCCTTCAATTTTAGTGCCAAACATTTTTGTCGGCTGTTTCAAAGGTACAATAGTCATTTCATGATAAACAAAAAATATAGAAATAGCAAATGTTCATGTTGCTTTCTACCAATTTTTATGAAAAATTTGTTGGTGGTCATCTTGTTTCTTTTTGCTTATTAAATCAGTTTCCTGTTTGGATGGGTCCATTTCATATGAGCAAAATGATGAGGATGAAACATGGTTCAAAATAAAATCATACGGAATTATGATAAACTAGAGGCTCTCAAGAGCCTGTGTCGCTCACCTGTATTTACCGATGCTTTGGAAATCATGTAAAATAAGGTTAAAATCATAATTAATAGTATTAGATATTAGATATTATAATGATATCTAAGATAATAACAAAAAACTGCAAAATTTTTGTAAAATTACTAACTCAGGGGCAGCAACCAAACAACGGGGTGTTGGATTCGTCTGAAAATTTCAGGGCAGATAAATCTAAATCTGATGATCATTTTTGCTGCCTGTCAGATTTGCTCTAAATGCTTTAGTTTCAGAGATATAAACCAAAAACTGCATTTTACCCCTATGTTCTATTTTTAACCAAGTCGGCCATGATGGTTGGAAGGCGGGGTCATTGGACAATTTTTTTAAACTAGATACCCTAATAATGATTATGGCCAAGTATGGTTAAATTTGTCTCTGTAGTTTCAGAGAAGAAGATTTTTGTAAAAGATTACAAAAATTTACAAAAAATTGTTAAAAATTTACTATTAAGGGCAATAACTCCTAAAGGGGTCGACTGACAATTTTGGTCATGACAACTTATTTGTAGATCTTACTTTGCTGAACATTATTGCTGTTTACTGTTTATCTCTATCTATAATAATATTCAAGATAATAACCAAAAACTGCAAAATTTCCTTAAAATTACCAATTCAGGG